CTTTTAAAGGGCAAGTGAGGGATGGGAGAAATTTTAAAATTTCTAGGGAAAGTGTTTTCTTAGGAAATATTGCCACCCACCCACGGCATGCAACCTGAACGCACATCACAGATTACTGCAGCAGACGCTCAGAGATCCCGGGGGCAGCACCCATGCAGTGAGGACGGCAGGAGGCCACCGCGGCGGGCAATGACCACTGCCCTGACCTCTCCCTGAGGTTCTCAAGGTGCGGGCCCTGGGAACACGTCAGCTACGCACCCCCTCGGCCCCACATGACTGCAGCCCGTGGACTGAAAGCCACTGCTCGGGGGCAGCTGGGTACCACACAGAGAGAGGAAGGTGGCAGAATAAACCAGCCACCCGTGCCACTGGGCCTGTTTCTCGTGAAGGAGAGCATGCCTCACAAGAGGGACACACAGCTAAAACATTCTAAAAAGTTATTACTGTTGGAAGACAAGTGTAGGGGATGGTTGCCAAGGTGATGAAAACAAGCCGACAAGCCTGGCCCTGCCCCCGCTGTCCCTTGTGGGAAGTGGTGCTAACACTCCACCCGCCCAGAGCTCGGTTCCTTCATGTTGCAGGCCCCTTGCTGGCACAGAGAATGCTGACCAGCGCCACGGACATTGCAGCCAGGTGCTGGCGAAGTAACCACACTGCTGCCTAACTTGGGGGTAGGCACACTTTTCCTGTAAAGGGCCAGATACTAACATTCTAGGCTTCTCCAGCCATAGTGTCTGCGTCACAGGTCCTAAGCTCTGCTGTCTACAAAAACAGCCGCAATCGTGGGCATGGCGGTGTGCCAATAAAGCTTTACTTACAAAAAGGGGCAGCAGAACAGATTTGGGCTCCTGAGCCAGTCTGCCAATCCCTGGTCTAACTGATAAAGAGTGGAACGCTGGCTTCAGTTTAAGTAACAACTGTTCCTTTGATTACTTTTGCCTGGAACAGGCTCTGATTGAATGAGGCACAGAAAACTGCAGAGGCAGGCCCGCAACAAATTTAGAATTCTTGGAACCAAATGCAACAGATCCAAGAGGCCTAACCTACTCTGACTGGTATTTTCTACATTCCTCTGCCGGTTAGGTCGCTGCGGGTGGCTGAAGCTCAGGCACAGGCCCCAGCAGAGGGCGCACGGGCTGTGCGCACCAGCCAGTGGCCGCAGAGCCCAGAGCTGCAGGTGGCAGGGCAGCCTCCGCACCGGGGGGGGGGGGGGGGGGCTCCACGCGGTGCCCCCGCCCCGCGTCCAGGCCCCCGTCCACCGCGGGTGAGGGGGCGGGGTGCGCCCACAGGCTGGGGGAGGGGGCTACGCTCTGGGGAGACACTGCTGGAGTGAGGAGGTCCCAGGATTCCTGGCTCTCACTCTCTGGTTCCTTTCCGAGTTTGTCTCCTCCTTCACTGTCAAGCTTGTCAAGCTGTCACCCTTTTTTCTGGTTCTGATGTGTCACCAACTGAAATATCAGATAATCCAGTTTCTTAGAACTTTGTCAAAAGAAGGGGTTCCCAGGAGAGGCTCGGGCCCCCGTGCTGCTGTCCCGGGGACCTGGGGGGTTGCTTTTGGTTTCTTCCCTTGTTCTGCCACCAACACAAAGTGCACTCAGCAAAAATAAATCCCATAAAAAATGGGATCCCATAAAAAATAAATCCCCCCGAAAACATGTAGTTCCTAAAAGGTAAAAACCTACTCCAGTGTGGCTCCGGGAGCACACACCCCGGAGCACAGCACCACTGGCCCTGGCATCCACGGTCTCGAGACGAGTCTGTCCTCAAGAAAGGCTCGTGAGGAACACATGCCTACAGACTGGTCCTTTTAGATGCTTTTGGTACTCAAACAAGACAAAACTAAGGATTACAGACTTAAAATGAGATTAGTTTTTATGTAGAAAGGAAAAGCCTTTGAGTTAAAGAAAATGAACCATTAAATGAAATTCACAGACCTCATTAGTGGTATCTTACCAGGAAGTGACATGAATTCTTCTCAGAGAAAAAGAGCAGAGTTTGTGTGACTCATTTCCAGATTCCTGTGGTTTATTATCCTCATTTCTAATTTGTTGGAAGACTATCTTTACACAGATAACAAATGTTTCCATATTCTGACATTGTAACACCCACATAGCAACAAGGATAAACTTTGATGTTAGATCCAAAATCCACGGCTTCTGGGTTTAAGAGAGAAACAGACATTAATAAAGTTTCCTTTCTCCTTAGTAGGGGTTTTAGGGAACTCTGCTAAGGAACCACTTCTCTAACATGCTGACAGTCTACACGGGTCTGTACTGCAGACACTGCTTTGTGATGCTCCTTTTAAATGAGAAAATGAAGAAAAACAGTACAGGTTCGTCTGTTCAAATAACACTTTCAAGTTTCATGAATGCTAATCGATGAGAATTGGGTAAACTCCTTGTGCTATGAAGGACAAACTTTCACACCAGCCAAGTGAGTCTGGCAGTCTTGTTGCCGTGCTGCTCACGTGAAAAAGGAAACGCCAGGAAGCAGCCACCCAAGTGCAGGAGGGCACCACCGTCACCCAGCGCTCCCCACACCAGCTTCCAAAACGGTCCCCGGCTACTGTCACTTAGTCTTGCCAGGTGGGCTGGTCGGAGGCCTGGGGGGACCAGGACCCCGGGGGCAGCCTTGGGGCAGAGCAGGGTCTGGTCTGGCCTCCCCTTTCGTGTCCCTGATGCAGGAGAGGCAGGTCCCTTGGGAGCAGCACCGCGCTGAAGGCATAAAGTGAGCACCAGATACCAAACCACGCTGCCCCCACCTCCCCCATGGGGTCAGTTAGACCAGCACAGTTCTGACTCGGTGGCAACTGAGAACCGGGTTAGAGCTGAGAACTGGGTTAGGACACACATAGCTTCTTGGGGCGCCTGGGGGCTCAGTCGGTTAAGCGTCTGACCTCGGCTCAGGTCACGATCTCGCGGTTCATGGGTTCGAGCCCCGCGTCGGGCTCTGTGCTGACAGCTCAGAACCTGGATCTGCTTCAGATTCTGTGTCTCCCTCTCTCTGACCCTCCCCCGCTCACGCGGTCTCTCTCTCTCTCAAAAATAAATAAAACATTAAAAAAAAATTTAGAGCACACATAGCTTCTTTCAGTTTGTCTTGAGAAACTTCAGACTTTAACCCCTCCTAACTTGGTAGAGAAAAACATTACTTCAGAGGACTCTTAATTATGTCTATGATGTTTAATACTTAAGTCTTCTTATTAGTCCTTGACTCAGAACTCGAATTTCTGGATGAAAATGTGCCCACTGCATTTATTAAAAACAAATTTTTTAAAATGTTTTATTTATTTCTGAGAGAGAGAGAGAGAGAGAGAGACAGCGTGAGCAGGGGAGGGTCAGAGAGAGGGAGACACAGAATCCGAAGACAGGCTCTAGGCTCCGAGCTGTCAGCACAGAGCCGGACGCGGGGCTTGAACCCACAAACTGTGAGATCATGACCTGAGCCGAAGCCAGAGGCTCAACCAACTGAGCCACCCAGGTGCCCCTGTGCGCACTGCATTTAAACCATTCCCTCAGTGTTTAGCTACATGCTTCCTGCATGACTCACATTCTACCAGAAAGTCACACACACAGGCAGAGGTCTGGCTCAGCGTCTCTCCCCCTGGGGCGACCTGTACACGCAGCTGCCAGTGCACCAATATTTGGAAGCGAGGGGGGTATTTCCAGAGACCCCTTGCTGGTGCTGGGCCGAGCCTGGCCCTGTCCAAGGAGCCTCTGGGTGCCCCAGATTGGGGGGACTTCTGGGCTGACTGGAGGCCAGAAGCTTTCATGTTGATATGAAATTTTAATCCCCCAGTTAGGAATATGAAGGCCTCTTGCTAGCTCTTCATGCAGTCAGTTAAGGAAAAAAAAAGCAAACCCAAGTGGGCGTCCTGACAACGTGTCTGTAAAAGGCAGGGCCTCCCAGAGTTCTCTCCGGGGGGGGAAGGACCAGGCCAAGCGTGGCCGTGGGGACCACAGACCTGCAGCTTCTCCACACGTGTGGCGACGCTTACACACACCGGAAGTCTGCAACCAGACCCGCCGCAGTTTCTGCGACTCTGGATCCTGGACGTTTGACGCCTCGAGCCACGCCACACCCTTAGGCAACGTTACCAGCTGGAGGGGAGAAGGCCGTGCGTACTGCCAGGCTCAGAACGGCACCCTGCGTGCCCCACACGCGAAGGCACATTCTCCATTCCAGCCACAAAGCCTCCAGACACTCACAGTGGCCACTGCCCAACGCAGGCAGGAGGGGCGGCGCTGCCTGCCCCGAGCCCGCGGCCAAGCCTCTGCAGGCATCTCCGTGCACACATCCACGAGCTCCTGCCTCAAGGCCCCTGGATCAGAGTGGAGTGTGCAGGCCACACCGCACCCACACGCTGGCTCCTTCTCCTGCCCGTTCAGCTTTAGGAGCAACTAAAGACCAAATTAGCTTCTCTATACCTTTAACCACTGGTGTCTGTAAACATCCACTCATGGAATCTTCATCTTCTCCAAATGTGACATGAAAATCTAAATGTAAAAGCACTTTTTGTGTGCATGTGTGTGTGTGTATGTGCGTATGTGTGTGAAGAAACAGAATTTAAAAGCAAAACCCAGTGATTTCAGCATCGGGCAGCCCCAAGCTGGGACCAGAGTACCCGTTCCCGCCTCCTCTCCGGGCCACCCCACCCTCACAGGTGGTTTCCGGGCCAGCGCTCCCTCCCTCAGACCGCCCTGCTCCGGTGCAGCCGGCCCCGGGGATGGCCTTTCCTAGGCGCCTCTTCCCTCCCACAGCCTGGCCCCATCCCCGCCCTTGCCCCCTTCCCGCTCTGTCCACCTGGGCCTGTGTGGCCGGGCAGCACCTGCGTCTCGCCAGCCTCCAGCCAGGCCTTCTGACCTGCCCGCCGGCTCTAGCGCCTTCCCAGGCCAGACTCCTCTGAATCACTGCCCCTCCCTCCAGTGTGTGTCTGCCAGGCCACACCCAGGAGATGGGCAAACACAGGGGGGCTCTCAGGAAGCCCTGGGTGGGAGTACCTGGGTGAGAAGCTGGTCTGGCGCTAGCTGGTTGATCCACCTTGTGTACCGCTCGGTGGAGTTGGGGGGGTCTCTCCTCACTTGGCAACCTATAATCTGTAACACAAAGCAGAATTTAACCAAGTCAGCGTGAGCTCGTGTGCACATGCCGTCTGCGTTTGTGTCACCGGGCGTTAAGTGTGCAGGACCAGCAGGGAACTGAGACCCCACACTGGATCGGGCTGGGGAGCACTTCTGGGAGTGAAGGGGAGAGGTAGGCACCCTCTCCGTGCAGACCCCACGCCGGACAGTTTCCACCTGCCGAGTCCCAGCAGCACCCACTAAACCACTCTGGTTAGAACTGTCACAGATAACGCTTCCCCTTTGATGCGTTCAAATTACAATGACCTGTACACAAGGTCAGACATCCAGGTGCTTCCAGTCACGCTCTTCTTGAGCCGCAGCAGCAGACACGGGAAGGTTCTGTTGCAGCTTCTTGGGCAGGAAATCCAAACAGTCCTGTTTCTTGATACCGTTCTCGACTTAGCCTCCCAAAGGCAGTAACCTCTCAATAAACAAGAGTCCGAGGGAACCAGCAGACAGGCCCTCCGCGTCCCAGAAAGAACCCAGTTCTGCAGCACAAAACCCTTCCCGTAACATACCACTTTCTTACCACTCCTACCCGTGGTCCCTGACACCTGGCCCTGCCTCCTCCCGCTGCCCTGTGCACACGCCCTGCATCTGCACCCCTGGGCCAGCAGCCCCGGCTCTCCCCTCCAACAGAGCTCGACCCCCAGGGACACCATCTGCACTTCTGTTTTAAGTGTCTGCCTGCAGGATGTCTAAACATGTCTATGACTGCTCAGAAGTGAAGTGGCCCAGTCCCACAGAGCCAGAGTCAGTCGTGGAAAGAGGCCGGTCCCCACAGCTGGTATCTGGGGCTGGCACAGCACGAGGGCACCCTCCCCCCGCCAAGGAAGGACAGTGGGCAGCACAGGGCCTGCCCCTGCTGAGGCTCACAGAGCTCCGTGAGGGTGCTGACAGCCGACCCTGGACTGTGCTTTCTCCACCCATATCACCGAATCGGTCTCCTTATTAAGAAATTAGCAAAAGTGGGGCGCCTGTGTGGCTCAGTCGGTTAAGCATCCGACTTTGGGCCAGGTCATGATCTCACAGCTCGTGGGTTCAAGCCCCGCGTCGGGCTCTGTGCTGACAGCTCAGAGCCTGGAACTGCTTTGGATTCCATGTCTCCCTCTCTCTGACCCTCCCCTGCTCATGCTGTCTTTCTCTCAGAAATAAATAAAACATTAAAAATTAAAAAAAAAAAGAAATTAGCAAAAGTTCCAGCATAATATTTGAATTTCTTACATCTTGTTTTCTGTAGTACTTATGCAGAGTGATTAATTTATATTAATGCAGGAGTGCTAATGAGGAGCTTTGAGAAAGTTTTTCCTTGCATGTTTTTTTGTTGTTGGGCTTTTTAAAACTTTGAGAAAACAGCAGACCTACAGGTAGTAGGAATAATGCAGAGACCTGTGTGTCTCTTACCCAGTGTCTCCAACAGTAATATCTTGAAAAAACAATGTTAAGTCACCACCAGCAAAGGGAATCCTCATGGCCCCTTTACAGCCACACACGCTCTCTGTGAGTGGCAAGTGCTGATCTGTTATTCTGAGGCTTTAATTTTGTCTTTTCAGAAACGCGGTGTCACAGAATCATACAGTACGTAGCGTTCTGTGATTGACTTATCTTCTGGGAGACTCACCCAGGCTGTTGTGTGCAAACAACAGTTCCCTTGTTTGGCTGAAAACCACCACACAGCACACACACACTGCAGGACACGTGGGCTGTTTCCAGCTGGGGCTGTTACTAGTATTCTGCAATGTACATTCACGTAAAGGTTTTTGTGTGAACGTGGCCTCACTTCTTGGGGTAAAGGCAGTATGACTGCCGGGTCATACAGTATTTGCAGGTTTAATTTTCTAAGAAAGTGTCACACTGTTTTCCAGAGTAGCTTCACCAGCTGTGCGTGAGTGACTGGGTTCTCCCACATCCTCACCAGCGTCTGGCGTGGCTTTGGTTTTTATTTCAGCCCTTCCTACCGGTCTGCGGTGACCCTCATCACCATTCTAACCTTGTTCCTTGATGGCTGACCCTCTTTCCGTGGGCTTATGTGCCTCTCACCCATCCTCTCTGGTAAGATGTCTGTTCATGTCTTTTGTCCACTTTCTAACTGGGATAAAAAATCCTTGGCCACAGGTGCATGTGCTTTCCGCATACTGCTGAGTTCCATTAGTGAGCCTGTCCTCTCTTCTGGAACTGCGCACTGAGGACAGTGTGAGCTGCCGTGGCTCCTGATTCTCCCACGCCTGATCTGACTTCCGTGTCTACTGTATCTACTTTCTGGTCCTGTCAAGACTGGCTTTGCATCTGACTGTTCAGCAGAAAAGATTCTGGGAGGAAAAAGGGGAAATGATCACGAGCTGTGAGGTAGAGAGCCATCTGGATGGCTCAGTTAAGCATCTGACTCTTGGTTTCAGCTCAGGTTGTGTTCAATGGGTGAGTCTCACGTCCGGCTCCACACTTACAGCACAGAGCCTGCTTGGGATTCTCTCTCTCCCTCTCTCTCTGCACCTCCCCTGCACGTGTTCTCTGTCTCTCTCTCTCTCTCTCTCAAAATAATCTGAAAAAGACCTGTGACGTAGAAATCTTGTTTCAGAGGTGTGCTCACACATGGATGAAGGGGCTTAACTTCCACACACAGATGCCACAGACTCACACCCGACAACCGCAGCGCCCTGAGCAGCTGCTGGGAGTGACAGAGGGGCCAGGCACATAGCAGCCCTCTCCCACCAGATGAGGCTCTTCTGGAATCGGAGGTGTTCATGCTGCTTCCACAGTGAGCCCCTCACCCAGGCTTGCTGGCTTCTGATGAAAGCTAGAGCCACGTTGGGTGAGGGTCTCACATCAAGAGAGGGTGAGTGAGGTGACATCTGCCTTCAGTGGTGGGGGCACGTACAGATGAAGAAGAGGAGAGTACCTCTGTGTGACTTAACACTTTCTGAAAACAAAGTGGCCTGGCCCATAGGGTAGAAACCATGAGAGACCTTTTCTTCCTGAAAATGTGTCTGTAGTGTGACACCCGGCTCTTCTCCTGAGCCACCCCGACCTCCACGGTCCACAGGAGGGTGGGTGCGAGGGCTCTGCTGTCCTCCACGGTGACGGCATAAAACACGCTCAATGTTTCACACTACGTGAGACTCACACGCTCTGGGGCAAAGCCGTTGTGACATGAGCTTAGCACAGTGCCCTGTATGCAGTCGGTGCTCAGTAAGCACAGGCTGAATGAACCGAAGGGTGTGTGCTGGCTTGCGGGATGCACAGACTCCGTCCACACACCTGAGAGCAGCTGCTGGAGTAAGGCTCTCGTGAGGTATCAGCCGGTTCCTCTGAGGGCATGTGCTGCCGACAGGGCCGATGGTACGGGATTCCAGAGTGTGGTCCCTGCAAACACTCTTGAAGCTTTCTGAGCTTATAGGGGACCCAGCACTTTGGCTGGGGAAAAAAGGTCAGAAAGTAAAGGTTAATGGAGGCAGAAGGGAGGTAACTGTCCACTCTGCTGGCACCTGGCCTGACTCACGTCCACCAAGCCTGGGACCTACATCCCTCCCCCTGACCCTGAGGATCAAAGAGATACTAAGACATCACAGCCTCCAGTCTGTTCTCTTTGGACCTGGTTTTCGGAAGCAGCTGCCAAGCAGGTGAGGAAGCCATGAGGCCCCCAGTGGCCCCAAGTCCCCTGCCCAGCTGAAGCCTACCAAGAGCAGAGCCCTTTCTGAGGTCCCGGCCCATCGTGTCTGTGCGTGTGATAAATGGCTGGCTTTCACACCGCTAGGTCTGGGCACTTGAATAATGGTCAGCTCATCAAGCCCATGGCTGGCTGGTTGGCAAGGAACAGGTGAGGCCAAAATGAGGCGCCTTCTGTGCAGACCCTGGATCCGCGTGGCTCTGAAAGGGACATGGAGACAGGCGGCTGTGCTGTAGGCCGTCAGGAGAGAGAAATCTGCCAGGCCCAAGAGTAGCACCCTCCTCCCCTCTCCTGTAACAGGGGGAGGCCGGCCGGGGTCCTGGCACAGTGCTGGAGATGCGACCACACAGCGAGGGCTGACAGCATGCATCCCGGGGGTGCAGGGACGCGGGATCTGGGGTGTTCCAGGTAGCAGCTGCACTAGTGAAGGTGCGCCCTGCACAGCCCAGGCCAGCGGCGGAAAATTGGTAAAGAAACGGGGGTGGGGGTGGGGGGCGGTGATGAGTCACAGCAGAGATGAAGCATCCAGACCCACACCCCCTCACAAGGCCTGATGGGAAGTTAGGTTTCTCCGACTCCACTGAGTTCAGCACCAGAGAGAGACGGTAGCGGTTACCAGGACCCACAGCGTAAAAATGGGGAGCAGAGTGAGGCCTCAAGCCGTGTGCGGACCAGAACCCACACCTCAGGCTCAGTGGCCCCGATGGAAACCGGGGTAGCGGAGGCAGGTGAGGCATCTCACGTTGTTTGTGAACTCTACCCATGAAATCGGAAAGTCACATTTCACTAAGAACTTCCGCTTGTCATATGGGCCTTATGTGGATACATTCAGGAATTGAAGCAAGGTTTTAATATTTTAAGGTTGGTTAGCTGTTTTCCCTATTTTATGCTCCCAAATGCTGACTGTCATCAAAAATCTTTTCTTAAAAATGACTTTAAGAGAACTGGTAGTCACCAGAGGGAGGAGTGGGGGTGTGTACCAACATGTGCTTCAGCATGTGCGGCGAGTGCCTGTCAACGTGTGTGATGGTATGTGTGCCAGGTGTGTGTCAGCACGTGGCAGGTGTGTCAGTGTGTGCGGAGGGTGCCTGTCAGCGTGTGCACGGTGTGTGTGCCAGATGTGTCAGCGTGTGGCAGGTGCGTCAGTGTGTGCGGTGGGTGCCTGTCGGTGTGTGCGACTTTGTGTGCCGGGTGTGTGGCAGGTGCATCAGTGTGTGCAATGGTATGTCAGCATGTGGCAGGTGCATCGGTGTGTGTGGCGGGTGTGTAATACCATGTGAGTCAGCGTGTGCGTCAATGTGTGTGGTGG